CATGCTAAAATAGTGTAAGCATCTGCAAGAAACATAATTATTTTAGTTCTTTTTTTAAAACGAGTATAAAATATTTCTCAACTTATTAAAATATGTATACTTACCGGTTACAAAAAAATTTCCTGTGTTTTTTTTTGTTGAGTTGTGAGTCTATGAGGCGGGACAGATTCTTGATCCATACGAAATGTCCCGCGTTATCGTCCCGCGGATCCTGCACGTACAGCAGATTGACATGCTTTTCTTTCTTCGTATTGGTAAGAAGGATCGAAGGATTCCGTATCGGAAGGATCGAAAATTCTTTCTTCTTTTCGATGCAGTATACATTTATGGATATGTTGTTGAGAAATTCAAACTTTTTAATTTGGTCCAATCGGAAACTCAATGTTTTGAAAATTGAGTATCAATTTTTGAGTACCAACATATAATGTGGATACGAGGATTCTCGTTCTGTGTTTCAATTGGATGCAGAGTCGCGACCACTGACCATGCAAAACATGGATTGTCCGTAGACTGTACGTTGATCACCGCTCTCTTCATCATAATTTCCTGCGGTAACTGAATGTAATATCCCGCGTGCAGAGGATTGTGTTTGTTTATTAACAGTTAAATTGAGTATACGCGACAATGCCCACCCGCTATCGCCTTCCTGAAATTCTTCCAGGGATGCCAAGGTAGGCTCAATAACGCGCAACTCCATACCACTTGTGTAAATTGGACGAACGAAAGAGTTCACAGTTTCTGTTGACCCTTTTATTTATACATTTGTCATTCGCAACAACCGTTTCACCGTTAAATACTGTATTCACCTTGATATTGTGATGTTTCTGCATGATAATTTTCACACGCTCAAACAAATGTTCTTCGCATCCTCGAGAAATTGGCGAAGTTCGATGTGCTTCATATTAATGACCGCACCAGTCAAAACACGGCTTTCAAATGCCGTATTAATCTCGCGCCATCTGAAGCCTGCGCTGTATCCAGCACAGTCACGAATCGTTGGCGTATCGAATCTTTCAAACTTTCGAGTCGCGCTATCCATACGACCAATGATTGTCTAATATTAATTGATAATCGCGGGTGTTTAATTCGACCATGCTCTTCTAGTGACTCGATATACTCACATCGTTGCTCCCACGCGATGTACTCTTCTCTCGAATCGGATAGATTGTTCCAAAAGAACACGTTCGGTTTGCTCCATATTAATTATCTTCTTTGATGTACTTTCAACTTACAATTCGACTAATGACAGAACGTGTCACAGTCTTTTCATTATATCTTATCCAATGGTTGTATTGTGTTTAGAATATTTTCGCATGTAGCATTTAATTTCAGAGTTTATCAAATGATGTATAAAGATTTTATTCTTGACTGTGAAAATGCAATAATTGCGTTTTTAACAATGATCTCATCTCAGGACACATTGTGACGTGCACATTGTTCTTAATATCATATTTCATATCATTAACCTACGTGAAATTGCAAGTTTGTAATGTTAACATGTGTCGCGATCTCATCGCGAAAAACATCAATCGTTCTTAAAAAAATATATATTTCGTACTGGTGATCTATATGGATTTGCAAATTTGCAATTTTAATATTCATTGGGACATGATAAAGATATTTATCGAAATTCATCGCAGCAGCCATATATTGGCGCTAATATT